ATGGACAGTTTTGATAAAAAGACATAACTGATGTCTCTGATGTCAAGGGTTTTGACCAACCAAATGAGGTCTGTTTCTTCCAAAGTACTGCCGTTTGAAATATTTTTAGTAAACTTGAGATCCATGTTTAGCACATGTCGAAATTCTCCCTAATTTGAGAATTATATGATTAATTGTAATAATATGTCACTGTGGACAGCTTTTATAAAATTCAGAATTCATGCCTTTGTCGCCACGGATTTTGACTGACAAAAAGAGGTCATTTTTCTTCCAAACCACTGCTTTTTTAACGGTTCATGAGTAAGCTTAAATTCACATGTTGAGTAAGCTTAAATTCACATGTTGAGTACTTTTTGGAATTTCTTCTTGATTGTGAGTTATGAAGTAAATTTTAAAGACATATCACTGCCTTCACTGCATAGCAGATTTCAGATGAAATGTCTCCATTCTTTTGAACTTTTGAGGGGTCAAATAAGGTCCAATTATTTTCAAACCACCCCGATTTGAAGGATAGGTGTGTTTAGTACAAAAAAATTGGTTTTGGAACCATCTTCAAACTTTAAATGGTCCAAGGGTTACGACCCTAATGGTAAGTGCACGTCATTGCCGTTGATGGCAGGAACTGAACGGTAAGGCTTGACTGAAATAATGTTACTGTTATTACGGTATTGTCATTGTGACACTATTAAAATGTGATGTGCCACTACCAAAATGTGATACTGCTGCTATCATGATGAGATACTGATATCGTCCTAATGTGATACTGTGTTGTTTATGTGTTACGTCAATGGGTACCTACTGTGTAAATGATGGTGTCGTGTTGCTTATGTGTTATATGAATGGGTACTACTGTGTGAATGATGGTATCGTGCTGCTTATATATTATGCGAATGGGTACCTACTGTGTGAATGATGGTACCATGTTGCTGATGTATTATGTGAATGGGTACCTACTGTGTAAATGATGGTATTGTGCTGCTTATGTGTTATACGAATGGGTACCTACTGTGTGAATGATGGTACGGTGCTGCTGATGTATTATGTGAATGGGTACCTACTGTATGAATGATGGTACCGTGTTGCTTATGCATTATGCGAATGGGTACCTATTGTGTGAATGATAGTACCGCGCTGCTTGTATGATATGCGAATGGGCACCTACTGTGTGAATGATAGTACTGGCAGCTAAGATCTTTCCCTAACTCCTCATGATAGGACGAGAGTCAAGATGTGAATGTGAATATTTGAGAAGGTCGCACGCCCCAGATCTATATGGGCATTATGCAATGGGTCACCCTTTTGTAGTTAGATATTGTGATACTGTGACTGTTATGTGATTACTTGGCATGCTTTGAGCGTATCATATGGCCAAGACTGACACCAGTGAATTGCGCACGAGGTGATATGTGACTTCCTGGCAATGCCTTGTGCAAATTGCATCGCCCGCAATGCGTAGTCGCCTGAATTATGTAATTGACTCGGGATGTGTGATTGACCTGAGTTATGAGATTGACCTGAGATATGATTTACCTGAGTTATATGATCGATTTGCGAGATATGGGATTGGCCTGCTAGATAGGGCTAGAGAGTGGGTTGTGTCTGTTGATTTTTGTTATGCTCTCTTGTTTGTGTTGATCTGTTGAATCTGATAGATTGGTAGTGTATATGATACCTGGCATCTTATATTGTGCCTGCTCTACCATAAAAAGCATCATCCTATAATTGTGATATAATTATGACGCATGACTCTTGTTTTATGAGCATGGCCTAGAACCTTGATCTATGTTGTGTGATAATATTCATAGGCAGGGAAGCATGATATTGTGATCTACGTATTGGGCTTTTTAACTTATTCATTTGCTTCCACCCTTGTAGATTAATGGTTGCAGGTCAAAAACAGGCGGGCGGTGATCGTGTTTGTGGACTGAAGGTCAGCGCTAGACTAGAAGATCTCCTTGTTTTTGTTGGTGTCAGTTGGCCGTCGGCTGTACTGTGTTGTTTGTGAAGCTTTGTATTTTTTTTAATAGGCTTTGGTGCCTTCGATGAATTGTAATATTCTAGATATTGTTTATGACCTTGAAGACTGTATATGGATATGAAATGGTTCTAATTTATTCAGTTTTCAGTGCTTGGTGGAATATATTTATTTTATTTATCGTGGTTTGCTTTGATTCCGTACTTTTAAAACTTGTTGATGCCACTCCCACCTGAGTGACGTACGCGACTTCTGTGATTGCTATCCCGCGCTCTGACGCTCTCCGATATGGGACGGTAGGGCTCAAGAGGCGGGGTCGTGATCTCTCCCTCTCCTCTTTTCACTCCTCTCCCTCTCCACGCACTCTCCTTTCTCTCCGTATGCACCAACTTTGTCTATTTAATAATTTGTTATCATTATATAATTATTTATTATAATTTTATTAGTGGAGATTATAATAATTACATTGTATAATCAATTAATGATAATTACATAAAGATATATCCCATGTGAATTTCCTTATTTTTGGAGATACTTTTGGTCCGCATTACAAATGTGATAAGTATATGTATATGAATGATATTAAGGGTGTGGTTTCTATAAGGCCGAGGATCTAAACCATCAAAGTAATGTGCACTTTCAAATAGTGTCGAAAGATATTGTTTCAATTTTGGAAATCTTTGTGTTGGCCTAAAATATTATTTTCATAACTAATTATAAAATTTAGAGTTTAAAAAATAGTCGAGCAGATTTATAAACACTTGAAAATCTTAAAAATTGATGGTCCAAAAATACATTACAAGATTCACTATTTCCAAGACTTGAAATCCATTTTTTTGTCATGTCGGTACATCTTGAGGTTGAGATGATCAATTTGAGGAATTTTGGGTATTGAAACAACCTCTTCTAATGAATTTTTGTGGTGCACCCTAATTTGATTGTCTAGAGCCTCACACTTATACAAATTTTTTCTAATAATAATCATACTTTGATAATTATAAAAATATAATAGTTCGCTTAGTATAATGATATTAAATATAGATTGAATAGTTATAAATACAATAATTATGTTATACTATTAAAAGATTAAATTAATATTAATCGATATTTTTGGGTACTTCATATTAATCTATTTTAACAGTACAAGAATAATTATACTAAGAATAATATTTAAACTAATACATAAATAATTTACTCATTTCGCTAAGTTTATGTCTAATATTCAATCAAATAGTACTTCAATCACTTTTGTTTGTTTGTGAAAAGTATTTCATCTCTCCCTTTATTTTCTCGACAAATGTGAGAATGTTTATTTTGTTGTAAAATTAGTTTAATTCTTATTTCATTCTATGTTTTCATGTTACTGCAAGATTTAAATCTTCTTCTTGCTTTGAATCAAGTTATGAAACTGTTTGAAACATTCGAAGACGGAAACGTTTTGAGAAGTCAATGCACACCGTCATCCACAATGAAAACAAAAGACTACCAGAAATAGAGATTTTATAAATTTAATGCATACATTTTAAAAACACCTGCAATACAGGTGCATGCTCCTAGTTCATAGGACACGGTAAAAACTCAAACAGTGTGCATTCACATTGGCTATGAAATCAGCCAAAATTTAATCCAAGCCATTGGATTACATAATCAATTTACTAGTAGACTAACAAAACAATGAATGGGTGATATATCGGGAAGAGCGGCGAACCCTCTCTATTCAAATATGGAAAATTGTTTCACGCGGGCTGGACCGCATTTTTACAATATGCAGTCTCAAGGTATAAAGCATCCATCTTAAAGATGGATGTAAATAGGTGGTGTATCTAAGAACAATTTAAACTAACGGTCCAAATATTTTTTTAATAGAATTACTATTTCTAAATTTTAAATTTTTTCATATTCATGATCCTTAAAAATGCATGATTACCTGTACTTCAAATGAATCCATCTCACAATAAACTTTTAAGAGGTGACTCATTTCTACATAGATTCATTCCGTTCTTTTCTTAACATGTACCTCACTATGCACACATTGGGTAGACAAAGGGTCTTTCACCTGGCTTGGTCAGTCCGGCCCTGAAAACTAGGGCCTGAGCCACAAAATGTGGCTCAAAGCTAGGCTGCAACTGGGCCACCATGGCCCGAGGGCCAAACCAAGCAGGATCAAGGCTGCAGCCATGACAGGGCTGCCCAAGCCCAAGCCCAAGCCCGCTCAACTTTTTATTTCCATGTTTTTTTCCCTTTTTTTTCGAGTGTACTGGCATGACCCTGCCAAGAACTCTCTGGGCCAGAACAAGCTCGAACCAGCCCTATTGGGACCGGGGCTAGGCACTAGCCTGGCATGGTCTGTTGCCACCCCTATGGACGCGCATCAAGTACAGCACGTGAGGATGCAGTCATAAAGGAAAGAAAACACAACCAATTCGATCCTATCCACAATAGAACCCCTAGAACAACACATGTACCGAACATTCCTTCTCTTGAAGATTGGATTATTACAGGTACCCTTGGCCTTATCTTATATCGTCAGATATAAGAGGCCCTCTCATTTGAAACGTTATCATGGGGACAGAGAGGAACTCCCTCGAAAAAAAATCGCTGGATAATGGAGGGAAAGATGCCGAGGAATATACAGTATTGACAGGAAGTCCCAATTTTCAAAAAACTAAACTCCATTCAATCCACTACAATTCCCCATAAGCAAACTTTGCCTCGCTATTCAGATTAATGGAAAACAGACCGAAAGTCTTTTAAATCACTCACTAAACTCCAACTCTGGAGTCAGTCGGTCCCACCAAAAAAACGAATCGAGCTAAAAAAAATATATATGTATTTAAAGACTATAATGTTCATTTACTCCCTCGAATAATACACCACTTTGGATTGATTTTAGTACTCCAAATTATTGGGATATAACCTTTTCAAACTATAAAATTATCGATAAAAAATCTTTTCTCACTGTACCCTCTGAAAAAAAAATCTTTCGGATCGAATAGAGGCCATTCAATATTTAGTTGGTAAGATATGAGTGTTAAAAATTTGAATTTAAATTTTTGTTGAGCAAACCATGTCATGGAATACGTGCCCATGAATTAACTCCCGCCCCACTGTGTCCCTGTCATCCTCCGCCGCAAAGGAAAAAGGCAAATACACCGTTGCAAATACAGCCAATAATGTCCCCAAGTGGAAGGAGAAGGCCCTCGAAAGTCCCTGTACTACCAAGGGCAAATCCGGTAACAAATATTAATTCATTGCATTCTCTCTGCTTGGAGAGGGGTGAAGGAAACAACTTGCGTTTTGTCATTTGATGCAAAGGGGGGGGGGTGAAGGAATCAACTTGCGTTTTGTCATTTGATGCAAAGGGGGGGGGGGAAGGAATCAACTTGCGTTTTGTCATTTGATGCAAAGGGGGGGGGAACGTCCCTCGTGTTCTACGCCCTTCTCTCATCTTCAATTCAATGCAAGCCCACCCACCGTTTCCAAATTGGAAAACCACTTTCTCTCGCTCTTTTTGTTCCAAATCAGAGATACAAAAACCACCCTTTCTTCTCTTCAAGCAATGATCAACAAAAACTTACACCCCTCCAAAATGCAAAGACGGATCTGTCCCCGCACCATCACCAAGAAAATGAGATTCCCCCATTTCTTTTCCAGCAGCACCGCCACCAAAAAAATGAAACTCCCCAGTTTCTTTTCCCGCACTAATGCACGGACAACCATGAGAAACCCCCCCTTATAAAACCCCCAACGTGGGTAAGCTAAAAGCCCCTCAAACCACCCAAAATAACGGGGCAGTAGCAGAAGGAAGAAATGAGCAGGACCCGCAAGGAAGAAGATCCCTTCAAACGTTTCTTTGAAGAATGGATCGCCGAGCAAGAACGCCAACTCCACGAGCTCATGGCAGCTTCTCACGCCCACATCAATGAAAAAACCCTCCGCTCCCTGATCGAGCGCGTCATGGCCCACTATGAGGCGTACTATGATGCCAAATCCAAAGCAGCAAAGGAGAACATAGTGGGCATGTTCTCGCCCACTTGGACCAGCAAGCTCGAGAACGCCTTCCTCTGGATTGCAGGCTGGCGCCCTGCCATGGTTTTCCGCCTACTTTATGCAAAGGCTGGCCTACAGCTGGACTCTGACCTTGCAGATTTGTTGCAGGGCCTAAGCCGTCGGAATTTGGCCGACCTCTCGCCCTCACAATTAATGGCAGTTAACGAGCTTCAGATGAAAACAATCAAGGAGGAGGAGGAGATCAGCAGGAAGATGGCCAAGTTACAAGAGGGGGTGGCTGACCAGCCTTTGGTGGGATTGGTTCAGATGGTGAATGCAGAAGAGGATGGGGTGGAAGCGGCATTGGAAGAGCAGGAAGAGGGGCTCGAGAGGGTGCTGGAGTGTGCTGACCGGCTGAGACTGGAAACACTCAAGAGCGTGGTTGGGGTACTCAACCTAATACAGGCTGTCGATTTGCTGGTGGCCGCAGCACAGTTACACTTGAAGATACATGAATGGGGGATGAAGAGGGACGGGAACCTCAACCACCACGACTTGACAGCAGCACCTGAGACTGGAAAGCCCTAGATGGACTCCAGCTTGTTGTATTCAGTGTAGCTATATCATTAGTAGCGGCCACCACTTAGTTTCCTAGCTAGTAGTTACATCTCTCTCTCTAGATTGTTACATAGCATCGTCTCGGCTGGACTAGGAGTCTATAGGTCCACCTGGTGCTCTCTTTGCATTTTACTTTAAAGAAGCTATATTGTATTTTTTTTTTAGTAGTTGCTGACTTCAGTGAAACATAAGGTTCCGTTCCTAGGTATGTATTTACAATTTTATATACGTGTACAAGAATGACCGCCTCTGTTAGCTCGGAGCTATATAGTAATCAATAGTTGTTGACTTTGGTGGAAGTATTGGACAAAATCTCAGCTCAAACAAAATAGCTTCTCTCTCTTTCTCTCGGTTTGGGAACCTCAACCAACTTCAATCTTGGATGTGAGCACTGGAGGTTCAAACCACTGAGCTAAGAATAAAGTCAAGATTCTACACTTGAAAAAGGGCAAAAAACTTATGATTATCTTTCTCAATTAGTTTGGGTGGATGGCATTTAGATGCGAAAGATACGACGCACATCTGAGAGGGTACGGATAAAAGCCAAACAAACGTACAGAGCTGGAAAAAAAAAGAGAAAAATATATAAATATATATATATTTGTCAAAAAAAAAAAAAACAAACGTACACAGCAGTCTCCTGCCGTGCATGTAGTAATTTTAACATTAATCACATAAGTGCCTCCAAATCACTTTGATTCCTAAAAAAAATAAAGAATAACATGCACTACCAAGCTAACGATCTTTAGAATCCAAACAATTTTAACAGCAGGTTAACTACTTTTTACAAATAGGATTAGGACCACAAAGGCAATGGCGAGAGCTTATGGTGCTAACTGGGCCTTCGAGATCCAAAGGCAACAGCATTAAGCATGCTAACCTCCAACTCAAAGTTTACTCAGAAACTCGGTTACCTAATGAGTCAACCATGATAATGACAAGATAATTTGAAACTGATGAATAGAGGGAACCTTATCCCTGAAGGAATCTATGTGAAAAGAGAGATTTTACACTATAACCAAAGATTTCCCAACAACTTACCAGTACATTATAACCAAAGGCAAATGCCCATCTCATCCGTTATAATGGACTCATACATTTAAATCATATCCATGACAATTCCAGTCCTAGATATAAGACTGCCTAGAAAAACAACAATATATTGCCCATCAAGAAATACGTAATCCAAATTTCTCCTTATCCCTTCACTTCCCAAGATTTTAACACCTGAGAAGACTCACATTTCAGTAACCAGCTGTTACACCCTAGTGCTTGTAGATGTGGAGGACAGGGGAAGAACTCCACCATGGTTGGGAGGAGCTCAACACGTAAAGAGATGATAGTGGCAAACAATAATTCTTACTCTGTAATCCTGTCCAGCTAAATAACAAGAACCATGGCAGAGGGCAGCCACAAACACTATGAAAGCATCCTTCTGAAAAATGCACATACAGGTACCACCAGGTAGCGTACCATTGACTCCCAAAGGTTTTTAATATGCATTCTCCTTCCTAAGAATGGTATCTAAGCAACAAGAACAACATTCAGTGTAAACTATATACAAAATGTTAAAAGAAAAAATAGGGGTATAATCACGTCGGAGAACAAATAACAGTGCACAAAAACTCACATAGGATGCACAGGTTTTCTTTTGCCATCTGATTTGTTGAGGAGACTTCACCAAATTATGAAAATAGAAGAAATGAGTATGCATGCAAATGATGACAAGACAATGAGAGAAAACTGCATATACATCAGTGAAACCAGGTTTGAGTCAAAGTATAGCACACTACAAACGGACATTAGAAACTGACTGCAGTTTATTGCAGGACTCGTGCAAGACTGAGCAGTTTAAAAAGACAGACCAACATACTGCATATGACAAACACCTCAACAAGCAAGCAGAGTGTACATTATACCATTATTTCCACTGTGCACCAAAACCACTCGATTCAGCATGCCTTCAGTACTCCATTGTCATTATTTCTTTCCTCGCAGTTTCACTCCAAGAACCCTTTCCAGCTTGGTGATTATCTGTTGGTTTGGGATAGCTTTTCCGGATTCGTATTCTTGAACGACTTGAGGCTTCTCATTAATGAGCTGGCACATGATGGCAATATATGTGAGGCTCATACCATTTCTGGTTTTATCTATAATCATCGAGATCACAATTGGTAACCCACAAACAGCTAGAAAGAAATACCTGTGCAAGTTGCGCCTGGGTGAGTTTTTTCTCCACACGAGCAGCCATGATGTTCTTCTTCAGTTCAGTAGGCACCTTCTCATCTGTGAGAAATACCTTTCAGACGAGTAATATTGAGGACAATTTTTAGCCAAGCAGAACAGCATGAGCTGTCTACATTTATTATATAGATATATGACCCCACATCTTCCAACTTCTTGTAAGCATTAAGAGGTATGGATGGGTAGCAAATTGCCAACACATGTGCATAATATTGAGAACAAAATGAATACAATTATTATATCGAGAGATGACCCCACATCTTACAACAACTTGTAAGCACTAAGAGGTATGGATGGGTAACCGAAATAGCAAATTGGCAACACAGGTGCTTATTATTAAGAACAAAATGAACTTTGAGTGTTTCATATGACAAGTCTTAGCTTGCCACATGTCACGAGCATCTGAATGATGGGAGACAATAGCTGAATATTGAAATTCCAGATAAAAAAATGACGATAATAATACTACAAAGTAGAAAATAAAAAACACGAACTGAAAATGTGTATCCCTATGATCCACAAACACTTCAAAATGGGTACCATATCCATGTCAGATAGTTTAAAAATACATGTAACGTCACACAAAAGGGGAGGAAAAAGAACCTGATGTTCCAGCCATGTTCAGAGACATTCGTACAAAACTAATGCATGACATGCATTACTGGGGTAAGTAGGGAACTACTATACGAATACGGAAAACCTCAATTACAGTAACCATCAAATTGCAAAGCTTCGACTTAATGGGGGTTGTGGTCCTCGTCACTTTTCATAGAGGTAGAGAGTTTGACTTGAAGTCAATTCTCTCCTGAAAATACCTGGCACAAGTACATAATCAACGTTCGCTATCATTTAGCCCAAGTTTCACATACAGCAAGTTTGTATATTCAAACTCCTTATCACATGCATACACAACCCTAATGTGGGAGTGAATAATACAATTTCTCTTTCCACTCAGACATTGATACTTAAGAGATACACTGTCATCCACCAGACACCACAGTAAGGAAAAGTAACTGCTCCTCAACCTTGTTGCCTGGTCTCATCTTTCCTTCAGCATCTCGGTCAACATCACGTTTATGCTTCCTAATGAAACAGCATCTTCATCCTGATCACCCAACTTAATACATTAATTTTCATAAAGTTTGTTCAAACAATATTTAGCAAATTGTCAACCAATCTTCCAATGGTCAACTTTAGAAGGACCATATCAAGTAATCAACTATTCCTTTTCCTATAAGTCACATGTCCCCCAAGGGTACAAACTGGCGTCACAATTTACTCTTAAATCATGGAAATCGCTCCAAGTCAAGGTCCATGAAATAATAGCACCCCTAATTCGTTATCTCAGCAATACACCATTCCAACTTAGGACTGACCACCAGACCAGCTATGTCTCTTTATCAGCAACTAAGGCAGCTAGTTTCATTAGAACCCAGTAAATTACGAGTGGATTCTAATAAAAAGATTCCCACGAAAACCTAAACAGATGATCGCAATGGTTCATAGATTTGACTAGACGGTGTGATTACCAACTCAGTTCTTAGATTATTTTCATCCGGTGAGCATTTTGTTTCCTTCAATTTTCCTAGCCAATGTAAAGAGAACTTGGGCTTGGGACTCAATACTCGACCAACCTAACTCAACCTTTGGCTAGTACCAGGCCTTGAGGCTCATCTCATAAGTGTTGAGTCTTCCAAGAATCTGCTAGTATTTCTTCCTTTTTTTACTCTTTCTTTTTTTTTATTTCAAGCAACAGGAAATTAAAATGCGTTTTCACAGTTCCAAACTTCCAGTCACTTTTGACCCCTATGTTCTGCAGGAGACGGGGGCGATTATTTGTTCACTCAACTACACCCCCATTAAAAAAGAAATTAAAAGAAAAAAGATAAGGGAAAGCAATCAATGAGACGATTCCATACAAAAATTACAGAAACCGCAAGTTGTCAGATTTGAAATTGGACAGCTACAATGTACTATTGACCACACAAAGTCTGAGAAAACTTTTCTCAAACTTTTGAGCAGAGGAATGAGACAACCAACCCCTTCAATTCTAATTTTTCACTTCCTGGGTGCAGCGACTTGTGTTTTCCAAAGTAAATGGCCTCATTGCATAAGATCCTTTTCCTATTTCTTAATTTTACTCATCATAGGCTCATTCGCGTCTGAGTCTTATAACCCAGTCACCAGTCATTCCTCAAGCAAGAATTGGTTGTCTTTTTTATTTTTTTTATTTCGACTGCAAATCCATTCAAGGGCTGGAAAACCCCAACCCCTATCTTTTCTGACATAAGAGAGATGCCATCCTTTCAAACCTAGCAACATAAAACCCAATTCTCCTACTATTATAGCTGTTACATATGCAAGTACCCTCAATAACCCATTCTATTTTTTTTATAGTTGACTGTTGTTTTACAATAAAAGTTGTACAGAGAGCACAACAAGCTAAGATAATAGACGGGGAAGAAGAGGGGGAAAAAAACAAAAAATCCTCCGGATTGCTAGAAGCCAGTATCGTTTACCTCAATAACCCATCATTTTATATTTTTTCCAGGGAAGGTGACAGTTATTTTATTAATTAAGATAATAGCATTTACATTGAGAGGTACTAAGATCGCAACCCATAACCAACGAGCAAGAAGAGAAACAGAGAGAGATGGCTCGTTCCCTACCAAGCCATATGCATCAGCTATCTCATTTGCACTGCAAGGGCCATTCGCTAAGTGAACAGGTCGACCATCACACAAACCAAAATATGATGACGTGCTCTCCAATACATTATGACCAGAGGTAGCCAAGGAAGACCTATAACAATTTTGATTCCTTCAAGACAGGCTTTCATCTCAGCTATTGTATTCACATAGTTCTATAGGGCCCAATATGTGAGATCAAATTGGCTCCCTTATCATCCCTCATGACTCCATCCATTCCCTCCAATCCCGTATTATCACGGAAACAACCAAGAAAGTTCAACTTGAAATCACCACGTGTTAATTTTGCCGTGGAACCATAGGAATTTGAAGGGTGAATCTTGACATCACAACTTGGCTCAAAACTACACAACAGATCAGATACATGGATGCCCTGGAAAACAGGAGATGTAAAGGCCCAAGAGATAATTGATCTACAAATCATTTCATGACATCAAAGGATGCTTTCTACCATAGTCAACCGAAATGATTTGGAAACTGAATCAATATAGAAATCGGAAGCGCAGAATTGCCACTGGCTAGGAGTTTCCTGCTTTCAGGATCAATGTCCATACAAGAGGAATTGTGGGGAATGAGATTCCCATTTTTAGGAATTGAGATTCGAGTAAAATAGAAATGAAATCCCTCCATAGATGGAATCGAGATTACTAGCTCTTTGGAATCGAGTTTCCGATCTCGTTGGAATCAACCAACATGAAATTGAGATTCCTTCATTTATGGAATTGAGATTCCGACATCTTTAGAATAGAAAGCGAACTAAGAGGGAAACGAAACATGTCTCAAAGCCATTCGTTGACCGACATGCCATACATACATGCACGTTTACATTATTTTATTATTTCTAACATTTTGGAGTTGCAATATCTCTATTGGATCAATACAATGCATACTTAAATAATTAAGTCGTGAATGTGAACCACCACTTTGGTTTCTATTTTTCCACCCAAAATTATGATGGTTGATTTATGGGATGGACAGCTGTAATTAAATCTCTCTCACCCCACAGATTTCCTAATTATCCTATAGGTTAAGTTGTAGATGAGGCATACCTAGATTAGAATCCAATTCAAAGTAGGACATAGATCTTGTTTCTATTTAAACAAGATTTGAGCCCCTTCTCTCAATACAAGAAGATTCTCTCTCTCTCTCTCTCTCTCTCTCTCTC